GGCCAATCACCAAAGCTTGTGCTCCGATAAGGCGCCAATCTGGGAAGCGAGGGCCTTCTAGAACGGATGCTACATTTTGAATAAATGCTGCCGGGTCAATTGATCTAAATAAGCCTGAACGGTTTAAATCTGCTGTTAAAACATGGGTCAGCTCTCTTCCAATTTGGGCAAGTTCTGGAGTATTTGCTTGAAAGTCCACAAAAGCAATGGGTGTTGGAGCCACATGACCCTGGGTGATATTGATGACCAACTCTGCTTTTGAAGGTGTTGAAAAAGAGCCAAAGCTAACAAGAAACAATAGCAACAACAAACGTTTCATAAGGATTCCTAACTGATTTTTTTCTATCTGTAACATGGTTGGAGTCATTAAAACAGGTCTTTTGGACTAAAGCTCATCCTAAAGCTTTTCCATTGATTATACTTTTTTGGTGGTAATTTTAAGGGAGAACATTTTGGACTTAAAACGGCTCTGATCGCACTATCTGCCGCCGCTTGATAAAATGGGCTAGGGGGAGTTGGTCGATTAACAACTTTTGCATCAATGACAGTTCTATCAGGTCGTATATTTAAGATGATATCAACAACTAAGTTATGCGCATCACGTGCACCAGCAGGAATATTCCAGCATCCTCTAAGTTGTTGTTGAATAATCAATAATTCGCTATTTGTTAACTCGTTAGAGGTTGTCGATGAAGTATCGTCAGAATCATTCACTTCGTCTGCTTTTTGAGCCGCTTCTAAATCCTGAAGATTTTTTAAAACAGAGGCAAAGTCATCTTTTTCAGGTTGGGGTTTGGGCTTTGGTTTTGCTTTTACTTCAGGTTTAGAACTTGGTTTTTTTTCAGGCTTTGCTACAGGCGGCTTAGGCTCAGGCTTTGGTCTTTCAGAAACTTTTGGTTCAGGCGTTTTTTTAGGTTTTGCTTTTGGCTTTGCCCCAGGTTCTGGGGCAGGAGTAGAGGGCTCTGGTTTTGTAGGGGGAGTTGGAGGTGTTTCAGGCTCTTTTTCTACAGGCGTTACCGGCTTTGCTTTTGAAGGGGGAGGCGTGCTCACTTTTCGTGTTCTTGGCTTTTCCATCACAACTTCCACAGGAGTCGGTGCCATGAGCTGCATATCTTTGTGGGATGACCAAGGGACTCCCACAATGATAAAAAACAAAAAAAATCCGTGAATCAAAAGGGAGAAAATGAGTCCCTGACGGGTCATAGCCTGTTACCCCACAGCATGTTTTGGTGCAGGGAGTTCTGCTAAAAGGGCGACTTTTGAAAATCCTGCTTCATTTAAAGCGCCCATAACTTTCATGATCTTTCCATAAGTCAAACTTTGATCACCACGCACAAACAACCTTGAATCGTGCTTCTCACCCGTAATTGCTTTGAGTTTTGGAACGAGCGTTTCTAAATCAACGGGTGTTTCTTGGACAAAAATTTGCCCTTCTTTATCAACAGAAATTGTTAAAGGTTCCACATTTTCATTAATTGCGGGCGCAGAGGCTTCTGGTAAATCTACAGACACTCCAACGGTCATTAAAGGAGCTGTGACCATAAAAATAACAAGCAGAACTAACATAACATCGACCAAGGGTGTCACATTGATCTCGCTCATGACGCCAAAATCACGTCTTAAAGATCTTTTTCCACGCCTTTTTTTTGAAAGTGATGCACCCATTTTTATTTCTCATCCAATTGACGTGAAATAAGGGCTGTGAACTCAGTCACAAATTCTTCTAGGCGTGCACCATAACGTCCCATGTCAGAGGTGAGCTTGTTATAGGCTAAAACTGCAGGAATAGCAGCAACTAGACCTAGAGCTGTTGCAAATAAAGCTTCTGCGATACCAGGAGCAACAACAGCCAAGTTTGTACTTTGAGAGGCGGCGATACCCTGGAAGCTATTCATAATTCCCCAAACTGTTCCAAACAAGCCAATAAAGGGAGCTGTGGAGCCAACAGACGCTAAAAAGCCCATATTCTTTTCAAGATGATCCATTTCACGAGAGGCATGCACATGCATGACGCGCTCGATACGTT